AGGGCGGCTAACAGCCTCATAAAAACTACAATACAAATACAATAATTAAAAGCCGAATTAAAAAGAAATATTTAAACAGGCCGATCATTAAAATTGTCCTTAAAAATCCCCTAAAAAACCCCGCTAAAATTCCCTAGGCCAGACCCGCTTGTTGGAAAAGCCATGTCTTTAGGGCGCGGCGGAAGGAGGGGAGATCCCTGCAGAAATAAGATTGGCTTCCACTTTGACACTTTGACACTTTGACACTCTCTCACAAGGCCCTGAAGGCCCGGTTCTGTCAACGGGTCTGGGGGACCCCAGGGGAATAGAGCACCCTTTGTGTGCTGGTGTGATTGTTGTTTCCAGAAGGGAAAGTTTTACTGGGCTGTTAATTCTACAAGCCGCCTAGAGCAGGGGTAGGCAACCTTGGCCCCTTCATGACTCGTGGACTTCAACTCCCAGAATTCCTGAGCCAGCATGGGGAAAACTTTGGCCCCCTCATGACTGGTGAACTTCAACTCCCAGAATTCCTGAGCCAGCATGGGGAAAACTTTGGCCCCCTCATGACTGGTGAACTTCAACTCCCAGAATTCCTGAGTCAGCAACGCTGAGGGGAAAGGGAGAGGTTTCCAAGCTGAGCCAGGCTGGTTCAGGAATTCTGGGAGTTGAAGTCCACGAGTCATAAAAGGGCCAAGGTTGCCTACCCCTGGCTTAGAGTCATCCTGAGTCGAGGCAGCCATATCAATTTTCTTAATAAAACAGAAATCATAAATACCCAGGCAGACCCTTGCTGCCCCGGCTGGGCTTTCAATCCATTGCCAAGCCTGGTTTGCAAGCCCACTTACTTGGGGAACCAGTTGGGGTCTCCCGCGAAGAAGCCGTCCTCTTTGGAGACTGCCAACCCCCCCAGGTTCATCAAGGTCCTCTGGACGCAGGCCATGTTCTTCCCTGTGAGTGGAGAGAAGTCAGAAAGGGTTCTGAAATTTCCAGTTGGAAGGAAAAGGAAAACAATTTGTAGCCATCCCTTAAAAACAAAACGAGAGCTTCCTTTCCCCCCAAGTGTGGCAACATAAAAACCAAATAGTCTTGTAGCTTTAAAAACATTCACTAAAATCAGATACCTTTTGAAAACAAACTGGTAGTTTTTGGACAGTGAGTATCAACAAGATTTAATGCTACAAAAATGAGTTTGGGTAGAAATTTGGCAGTAGGCAACTGACAGAAAGCTGAGCAAATGGGCTGGTTTTTAACAGGCTGTCTCGTCCCACTAAATGTCAAAAAAAAGAAAAAGAGAGAGAGAGAGAAGAATTTGCAAAATAAAGATACCCAAGGAACGGTTGCTGGAATTGGGTATATCTAGTTTAACGAAGAGAAGGACGAGGGGGGACAGGATAGCAGGGTTCCAATATCTCAGGGGCTGCCCCAAAGAAGAGGGAGTCAAGCTATTCTCCAAAGCGCCTGAAGGCAGGACAAGAAGCAACGGATGGAAACTAATCAAGGAGAGAAGCAACCTAGAACTAAGGAGGAATTTTCTGACAGTTAGAACAATTAACCAGTGGAACAACCTGCCTCCAGAAGCTGTGAATGCTCCAACACTGGAAGTTTTTAAGAAGAGACTGGACAGCCATTTGTCTGAAATGGTATAGGGTTTCCTGCCTGAGCAGCGGGTTGAACTAGATGACCTCCAAGGTCCCTTCCAACTTTATTATTATTATTACCCAGCTAGTTGCTAGAAGCGCCAATGCTTGATGGCCTCTGCCCTTTCCTTTTGAAACATACCTTCCCACAAATCTACGGTTTGGAAAATGTCCGAAGCCAGGATGCCGTACTTCTCCGCTGCGCGTAAGAACTGAGAAATCTGCTCCATTTGTTTGAAGGCCATGCTGGAAGACTGGATCTTGGCCACAGGCCCCTGGCCCTTGGGATAGAGGCTGTTGATCAGCTGGCAGAGCACCTAATGAGAACAGGAAGCATCATACATTTAACGTTGGTCTTTTGGCCAGCCCCGTTTCCGTGGCCGATTGTCTTAGCTTATCGTTCAAGGGTCAAAACCAAGATGGAGTTGGTCTCCTTGAGCCAAAAAAATCCGATGCACAATACTCTGGGGTGATATAAAGCAGATTTGAGGTCTCTGCCATAAAGCTTTACAAAAAGATGGGTCAAAGGGTGATTTTGTGTCTAAATGTCAAGGAACAAGTTGCTAGTCCCTATTAGAAAAACATACATCTAAAAATCTCTATTCTTCTTTACTAAATGATCGGTCAGCTGATGATTTTGTGTCTAAATGTCAAGGAACAAGTTGCTAGTCCCTATTAGAAAAACATACATCTAAAAATCTCTATTCGTCTTTACTAAATGATCGGTCAGCTGATGATTTTGTGTCTAAATGTCAAGGAGCATGTTGCTAGTCCCTATTAGAAAAGCATGGATCTGTAAAATGACCTACTAAATGATCAGCCAAATGGTGATTTTGTTTTTTAAATATCGAGGAATAGGTTGCTAGCCCTTAGTAAAAAAAACGAATGGCTCTAAAAATCTGCTCTGCTTTATGGCCTGAACTAATGCTTCCATATAGGAGCCTAGCTTTTTTTTTTTAATGGATTTATTTTAAAGAGCCCACAAGAGAGTTTCAAACTATTTATATTTGCATCCACATCTGGAGTAGATAACTAATTTAACAAGAGCTGTTCAAACTTTTTCTTTTCATGCAAATTCTTCCTTTTAGGCCTCACATTTTTCCCAACGTGGGTGGCTTCCTTAATGCACCTCTTTTGATTTAATCTTCCTTTCTTTCACCAACCCCACCATGGATTTGACCAAAACACCCTCTGAAATAGTTTTTGACAGCCAGTTCTGTTTTTATCCAATACAGGGAGAACTGGCAGAGGAGAAAAATAAGAGGCAATATGGCAAAACAAAATAATAATTCCTCACCGTGCCGTCTTTCAGCCATTTCTGGAAATTGTCTTTGCCTGGCTCAGGCTCCCCGCTGTTTGGCCCAACCTGGGCCTTGATCCACTGGATCAGAATCTGTTCAAGCTCAGGATCGTACTGCCGGTCGATCTTTTGCTGAACCTCCCGACTGAGTCCGTAAGCAGGGCCTCGGTTCGCCATGACGCTAAGGTGTGTGGGTGATGGATTTCCAAAAACTTAATCTGGGAGATAGGAAGACAATTTTAGGATTAAATGGCTGGATATCCCAGCATTTATTAAGGCCCAAGGCAGTGTTTTTCAACCTCAGCAACTTCAGGATGGGTGGACTTCAACTCCCAGAATTCTCCAGCCAGGATCAACTCCCAGAATTCCCCAGCCAGCATGCTTTAAGAGGGGTGGGCTTCAACTCCCAGAATCCCCCAGCCAGCATGCTTTAAGATGGGTGGACTTCAACTCCCAGAATTCCTCAGCCAGGATCAATTCCCAGAATTCCCCAGCCAGCATGCTTTAAGATGGGTAGACTTCAACTCCCAGAATTCCTCAGCCAGGATTAACTCCCAGCCAGCATGCTTTAAGATGGGTGGACTTCAACTCCCAGAATTCCTCAGCCAGGATCAACTCCCAGAATTCCACAGCCAACATGCTTCAAGATTAGACTCTACTTCCAGATCGACACCCACGCTGGATAGGGAATTATGAGAATCGAAGTTCACAAATCTCCAAGTTGTCAAGCATGGACATTCCTGAGGTAAATCAAAGCATGGCAACGAAAAATCAAAGGTGCAAAACAAAGCTTGCCGCGGGGCAAATGGCCCCTCAGTCTTCCGCTGATCACGGTCCGTGGCTGAAGAAACCTGGGTCAAGGAAAGCTGGTTTGTCTCAGAAAATATTCTGGGTCTCAACCACCCGTCTGGATGTGCAATTTAAGCACAGTAGCAGGAAATCCATCGAGTGAGCATAGCTCTCTGTACGTGCTCAGCGTCATTTTTCTGACACCATCCAGACTGGCATCAGGAGCCAAGGGGATTAAGGAAAACACTTCCACCAAAGCTGGTGAAAAGCGCTTTGTTCTGGATTCCAATCTGGGCAGGCCTGGCAACACTCCACCTCTCTTACTCATCAGGGTGGGGCAAACCCTCCGAGGAGACTTGAAACCGGATCCTCTGACTCACTTCTAGCCCTCCACCCCCCCCATCACAAACTCTTCTTCTCTTATCCAAGCCATGATCATCTCCTGGGTTGCGCCCACCTGCTTTACGATGGGTGGACTTCAACTCCCAGAATTCCTCAGCCAGAATCAACTCCCAGAATTCCCCAGCCAGCATGCTTTAAGAGGGGTGGACTTCAACTCCCAGAATTCCTCAGCCAGGATCAACTCCCAGAATTCCCCAGCCAGCATGCTTTAAGAGGGGTGGACTTCAACTCCCAGAATTCCTCAGCCAGGATCAATTCCCAGAATTCCCCAGCCAGCATGCTTTAAGATGGGTGGACTTCAACTCCCAGAATTCCTCAGAAATGTGAGTCAATAGTACAGGTAGCCCTCGACTTACGACAATTGAGCCCCAGTTTTCCCACTGCCAAGCAAGACAGTTGTTAAGTGTGACTCACCCAATTTTATAACCCTTTTTGTGTTTTTGAAAAATAAATGTTGAGATTTTGGAAAAAGGGCAGAGAAGAGCAACAAAGAGGATTAAAGGCCTGGAGACTGAAACATACGAAGAACGGTTGCAGGATTTGGGTATGGCCAGTGTAGAGAAAAGAAGGGGGACATGATAGCAGTGCTCCAGTATTTGAGGGGCTGCCACAAAGAAGAGGGGGGGGTCCACCTATTCTCCAAAGCACCAGAAGGCGAGAAACAAGGGATGGAAACTAATCCAGGAGAGAAGCAACCTGGAATTGAGGAGAAACTTCCTGACAGTGAGGACAATTAACCAGTGGAACCACTTGCCACCAGAAGTTGTGGGTGCTCCATCACTGGGGGCTTTTAAGAAGAGACTGGACAGCCATCTGTCTGAAATGGTGTAGGGTTTCCTGCTTGAGCAGGGGGTTGGACTAGAAGACCTCCAAGGTCCCTTTCAACTGTGTTATTCTGGAGAAATTTCCCGACAGTGAGAACAGTTAACCAGAGGAACCGGAAGTTGTGGGTGCTCCATCACTGGAGGGGGTGTCTTTAAGAAGAGACTGGAACAGTCACTTGTCTGAAATGGTATAGGGCCTCCTGCCTGAGCAGAGACGGCTGGACTAGAAGACCTCCAAAGTCCCTTCCAGCTCTATTCGGATTGAAGACTGAACCACCGAAATTCTGAGATTTCTCATTTGCCCATTTTACAAACAGTTGGGGGGGGGGGAAAGAGTCCCTCAGGGACCAGGCACACCCCAATTGCCTTTGCCCCCCCCTATTCTCCCCCCCCCCAAGAGATGCCAAGGCTGAAAGGCAGGGCAGGTCTAATGGGTTACCTCAGCCTTATAATGGAAGGCGCTTCCCTGGGGTAAATTAAAGATATTCTTCTGTGGCTGGAGGGAATACCTGCTAATATCTCCTCTCATCCCCTCCATCCTTTCTCAGTCCAATTCTTACATCATTGTGGCTTTGTTTTAAGTTTCCCTCTGTATCCAATTCCAAATCTGATAAACGGAAAAGCCATTTCTCAAAGGGTGGGGAAGCAACCTAAATGCAGAAATGCTTTGTCTAATTATCTTTTCTTTTTTTATAAAAGAAAACATTGTGGGGGGGTGGGGGCAGAAAATCTTTCTTAGACTGAGTGGGTAGCTGGGTGGGTCCAAAGTCTGAAACTTACCTCTCCCCCCCTCTCTCCATGGGTGGATTTCCCACCAGAAGGAGCGTCTAGCCCAGGGGTCTTCAAACTTGGCCCTTTGATGACTTGTGGGCTTCAGCTCCCAGAATTCCTCAGCCAGGCAGGTGTGCCTGGCTGAGGAATTCTGGGGGTTGAAGTCCACAAGTCATCAAAGGGCCAAGTTTGAAGACCCCTGGTCTACCCCATTTTGCAGCCCCTGATCAAGAAGATCAGGCCGTGGGAATTTTTCCAACGTTTTTCCCGGACGTCCCCATCCAAGTGGAGGTGAAGGATAGCGGGAGGCAGGCAGAAAACAGAGCTAATAGCCTTAGCCACGTAAACTGGCTGGGTGACTTTGGGCCAATCACCAGGAGACGGCGAGTTCTAGTCCCGCCTTAGGCGTGAAAAACAGCTGAGTGACTTTGGACCAATCACCAGGAGACGCCGAGTTCTAGTCCTGCCTTAGGCATGAAAGCCAATTGGATGACATTGGGCAATCACCAGGAGATGGTGAGTTCTGGTGCCGCCTTAGGCCTGAAAGCCAGCTGGGTGACTTTGGACCAATCACCAGGAGACGGCGAGTTCTAGTCCTGCCTTAGGCATGAAAGCCAATTGGATGACTTTGGGCCAATCACCAGGAGATGGTGAGTTCTGGTGCCGCCTTAGGCATGAAAAACAGTTGAGTGACTTTGGACCAATCACCAGGAGATGGCGAGTTCTAGTCCTGCCTTAGGCATGAAAGCCAATTGGGTGACTTTGGGCCAATCACCAGGAGACGGCGAGTTCTGGTCCCGCCTTAGGCATGAAAAACAGCTGGGTGACTTTTGGGCCAGTCCCTCCCTCACATCCCAACCCACCTCACAGGGTTGTTTTTGTGAAGAAAACAGGAAGAGCATGTAGGTATGGGCATGTTCACCATTTTGCACTATTTGTAAAAACAATCAAGAGGGGACCGAAACAAACAAGAGCAAGGTTTTGTCAAACTGGCCAACTTTCAATTGCGTGGACTTTTTAAGTCCCAGAATTGGAAAAAAAGAGAGAATTTTTAAGGAATCCCTCCAAGCAAACCAAGGGGGGGGGAGAAACAGGACGGGCCACCCTAAAATTCTGCGTTCAAGGGAAAGGGAAATATGTAAGGGACGGACGAGGCTAATTCCTCTGGCCAGGATGCACAGTGGATTTTTTATTATATATATTTATATACAGGTCAGTTCCCATCATCTTGCCAACTTTCCAACTCCCCCCCATCCCCCTCCTCAGGGGGCCTAGGGAGACCACCCGCCGGCATCCATTGTCCCTTTCCCAGACAACACTCCGCTCTTTGTTCCTCGCCTAAGCCGGGGAGGCTCCAGCTACAAAGCGTCCACTTTCTGGCGTTAAGAAAAGCCTGGCCGATCTGTCTTTTTAATATCCTGAAAAAGATTCTGTCTTTCTCCCCTTTCAAACCAGGATCAAACTACTAGGCGGTAGCTGAATTACGAGAACACCGAATCGTTAGCCTGGAAGGGGCCTCAGAGGTCTTCTAGTCCAACCCGTTGCTCATGGCAGGAGACCTTATTATACCTTCCCGATCAAATGGTTGTGCAGTCTGTTTTTTTTTTTTTTTTTTTTGTTGTTGTTGTTGAAAAAATACTTGAACAAAACTTCTGGAGGCAAGTCGTTCCACTCCTTGTTCTCATGGTCGGGAAATTTCTCCTGAATTCTGGGTTGGAAGTTTCCATCCGTTAACCTGGAATGAAGGAGGGACTTCCTAACAGTGAGGACAGCTAACCAGTGGAACAGCTGGCCACCAGAAATTGTGGGCGCTCCATCACTGGAGGTTTTCAAGAGGAGACTAGACAGTCACCTGTCTGAAATGGTATAGTTCCCCTGTTCGAGCAGGGGGCTGGACTAGAAGACCTCCAAGATCCCTTCCAGCTCTATTCTATTTTTTGTCCTGCCCTCTAGTGCTTTGGAGAATAAGATGACCCCCCCCTTCTCTGTGGCAGCCCCTGGAGCGTTGGCTATGCAAGTCCTAGGAAGCCATGGTTTGCTTAATGATGGTTTACCGAGCAAGATCCAGTATAGCGAACCTGCTACACTCAAGTCAGTGGAAGATCTAGCAAGCACATTCACACAGCAGGCAAAGTTTCCTTGCTGTTAACCCTCGTTTCTTTTTTTTTTGTTTTATGTTGGCTTAGTGCGCTTGTGACTAAGCTTTATGGCCCATTTCATTGGGCCGCAACGCCCACGGTGGGAAAAGAAAACAGAGCAAGCCATGTTGTGTGTTGGAGGAACAAGATGGCTTCAAGGTTTGATTCTGCAACGAGAATAAAATGCAGAGGCCTTGCGGATGCCGAACAGACCCAGGTCAATGCGAAGGAAGTTAGAAGCGAATTGACACTGAATCTTAGAAAATGTCAGCTTCCTGGGGGGGGGGAGGAAGA